TTAGAGTAGGAGAGGAAGGGGGGATTGGAAACGGAATACAACCGGGCAAAGTTTTAAGAAACGTGTTAACATGTCATCTGATGTATCAGTCTTTAAGAATAAGATGTTATTTTGAATATTTGTACACAACTATGATGAGTCACTCAGCTAACGGTTAGTCGACGATCAGCTAATAAAACTGACATACTTTTAAACAATTTGTTTTTCAACTGCCGTACATATTTCAAAATCAAAAAATTTACGATGACATTTACTGTTAGTAGATCTCCTAAGAATTTCAAAAGTCCTGATTTGCATGACACATAAACTGATTGCCGATGGCATTCCGAGAATTCAAACTACATGTTTCAAGAATAAAAGCTTGCTATTTGCTTAGGAAAGCAAAATGTTCTTGTTCTATTACCGTCAGGTAGCTTACCAGGAGCAAGACTATGCAACACCAGTAAGAACTAAAAAATAATAAAGCTGAGCAGCATATATAAGCTGCAGATGCGATGACTCATGAATTACTAGGAAAACAAACCTGGCTCTGAGATGAAGTTGCATATGAGTCTATTGGGGAAGCCAGGGATTGTTTATGCACCAACGGGGTATTGCATTCACGATTTTTTGTTGTTCCAATCATGTGGATTTCTGGCGATGAACCAGCTGTCTAAAAGCACCAAGTAAAAACGTGATTATGGGAGAACAGATTCTCGCACAAATAAATTATATGACATTACTTTATTTGATGACAGATATTTCTTCTTCTCTGCATACAAATTTCTGTACTCCTCAACTTGCATTTGTTTTGCATACTGTTGCATACGAATATGATTGTCACCAAAATGTTTATGATGCATAACGTTTGCATTATTCTACAACATTTTAAGATGTTTTCTCAAACATAATTGAGTGATATAAAAATAAATAGCGAAACAAAATTTAATAAATTATATGAAAAACAGCCATAGAGCAACTGCTTACTGCTATTCCACTGTGATATGGAGGTGGCTTACAAATCGGAGATTCATTGCCGTTATTGGTACCATTAACTGGCGTTTTTTGCTCCATTGCAGAAAGCTGACTCCAGGATGCTGATGAAGCACCGTAGTTATAGTCTTGTGGTAATCCATAAACAGAAAGCCGTTGATTGTTAGAATCCATTTTGACTGAACAGAACTGGTTTACCGTTTAGCGTAAAAAAAATGAAATAAAATAAAAATAAAAAATAAATAAATAAATAAATCTGTCAAACTCTAACACTAACAATTCCTTAGTATCCGTTACTTTTTCAAGCAAAAATGCTTAGCAGTAGTTTAAATTGAACTATCCGAGACCATTTTTATAAAAAGGAACAAGCGATAAAGTCTGGTTTGAGTAATTTAAGTCCCTTGAACCTGTTGTTGGTAAATTGAACATTGATGCTGCCATTACAGTTGGAGTGACGTTACTGTTTAACGATGGTTTGGTCACCGAAAGTTGTTGGCTGGAGGACGAGTAGGCCGAATCTGCTGTAGCCACTGAAGACGCATATTCACCGTTGTTCAAACGGTAATTAGAAGCATCCTAAACTGCGAAGAAGTTTTTTTTAAACACTAAGCAGAACCATAAAATTTTTCCTGGAATTGCTAGCTGCTTGTAGTTTGCACGAATATCCTATAGCTTCATATAAAAGCGCTAAACTTCGATAACACTAGGTAAAACTCTAACAGAATATCTGACTGAAACTGATAAGAAAAAAGAAACAAAAAATAAATTCATTCATGAAACTTCAAAAAGTTTTGAACCTCAAAATTTGTCGATTTCACTATTTGTGGATTGAATGTACGAATGCTGTCTTCCAGATTGCATATCCTACAACCAGTGCAGTTACAGTATCAAATTTTCTTTATCATCAAATTATAACCTTCTGAAGACAAAAAAAATCTTGTTTTCAATTTTCCAAAGAAATATTTACTCCATAGGGCAATTTTTTTCCACTATAGCACCATTCATTGCATATTCAAATTGCCAGTTTAATACCATTGAAACATATCGTGCAGTTTCCGCATCACTCTAAACGCAACATATCCATCAATTTCAACAGAACTATTTTCTCCTCTTTTTGTTCAGTTTACCGTTTTATACAAAATGCTCATTTAGCACTCAAAATAAAGTTAATCAGACAAAACGTAAAAAATCTGCTTCTCCTTAAACCTACTCTGCTAAAGAAACACACACGGGAAAAAACAATTTACCATGGTAAATTGAAAAGTATTGCCGTCCAAACAGCGTAAATTTAGATGTCTTTTAGATGGTAGAATATCGCGTATATTTTCCCATCTATAAAACATTTATTCATTGCTATAGTATGACAGAACAATTAATACAAACAGCTAGAAAATTTCTAATATAGATTTCTAAGTAGTTAGGCGTTAGTGAATGCAAAAAAAAAAAAACCAATAATAGCAGTAACCAACTTATGCTTTAATGGCGCACTATAAGATCCTTTGACGACAATTCCTTCCTGTGAATAACCAATTTTGACCTCAGTGCTGTCCTCATCCTGCAAAACAGTTTAATTGTCCTCGAAAAATAAAGCAACTAATTTACATATTACTGACAAAAAGAACAACAAAAAGCAGTAATAATATTTCAAAAAAAGATTGGTTGTCTTTTCTTTTTCCCCTACAAAAACAGTGACGTCGATAAGAAAAACTTTAAATTTACAGTAAAATTTCAGTGTTACAAAACGTATCCCTTTTTTTTCCTTTTAAAATAATTGATGTTATCAACATTTTTCATGTTACAAATTCGAGTAAATAATCATGAAACAAACAAAAAAAAAAAGTATTTATCTTTGCCGAATACAAAACACGCAAAAAAAAGGAATTTTTTTTGAGAGAATATAAAACTGATATCTGATTTCTCCTTTTTTTTTTTTTTACACTCAATCTTTTCTTCAGTGTAAACTTTATACATCTAAACAGCGGTACTGCAATTCTGATTTACTTTACAATTTTACAATGAAGTCATAATAAAATCTTATTGCTTCCTCAACAACAACAACGACAACAATACGGTGTATTCTGCTGTCCTCAGTAACTGTTAGTTCTTTCAGAACCAAGAAGAATGGAAAAAAAAAGGGGAATAAAGGAGGACTGAGAGAATCACTTCTGAAATCATTTCCAAACGAGCAATTTCATTCTGCTGTAGAATTTTTTCTGACCTAATTGTCAGCTTTGTAGAGAAATTTTGGTGATCACCAAACACTATTACAATGTAATCACCAAACATATCCTCTTTCCATCTGAACAATATCCTGTACAGTAAAGTAAATGAGTTAAACTACACAACAATGACCAGTAATGATGGATACTATTATCATACTTAACTATCATCAGATTTTGCTGCTGACAAGATTACAGCCAATCGTTTAGAAGCAGTAAGTGTACTTCAAAACGTTTTGGCATTTCAGTACAGAAACTGTAACAAATGTGAC